CACTCGAATGTTTATGGCAGCACAATTCACTATTGCAAGATCATGGAAACAACCCAAATGTCCATCAATTCATGAATGGATAACTAAAATTTGGTATATGCTCACAATGTAATACTACTCAATTCTAAGAAATGACAGTGAGCTAGCACTGTTTATGCTATCCTGCATTAAGCTTAAGCCTATTATCCAAAGTGAGGTGACACAAGATCAAGAAAGCGGGATCCACATCTACTCACTATCAAATTGGTACTGACTGACTAAAACTATGGTGCTCAAATGGTGATAGTGCCCACCAGGGTTTTGGGGAGGGGGAGATACACATCTTAGTGTTGTGGCGAGCATTGTGTGGGGTGGGGAGGGAATACCTCTAACCCGTCCTAGGGAAAGACAAAGATATACAATGTAACCCAAAGGTAAAAAAAAAAAAAATGAAAAAACAAACAAACTTTTATCGGGTAGTGGCAGATGGGAGGGGGAATTAGGGGAAGAATTTATACTTACAAAATAGGTGCGATGCACACCACCTGAGGGTAGGACATGCTTGATGTTTTGGTAAGGCAGGGGGTGGAGGGAGGAATGGCAGAGGCAATATATGTAACCCTAACAATATTTGTACCCCCATAATATGATAAAATAAAATTAAATTAATATTAAAATATAAAATAATAATGATAATAGAAAAAGAAAAGATCAAAGGAATAAAAGAAAAAACAGAGAGAAAGAAAGAAAGGAAGAAAAACAGAGGAGAAAACTGTTTAGTTGGTGACCAAAGACACTAATTCTCCTGGTAACCAGGCTTAAGGTTAGAATCATCAGCTCATCCAGCTTTGCCTGTATCTATGGTAGTCATATCACAGAAACTCCCACATTCTCATTTTTGTAAGGCTTCAGTCCAGGCAAATCAAGCTGAATGTCACCCATAAACTGATACTTTCTGCGTCCTGGTGTACTGCTTCTCCACCTACCCACCTGCTTGCTCTGATCTGCCACATGGAAAACAATATGCCAAACATCCTTTTCCCAGGTGTCCTTGATACACATAGGAGACACAGGTGGAGTAGGTTGTCCAGAGAGAGATGCCTGTTAGTCTTGAGTCAGGCTTTTGTGGATGAACATACTTTAACCCAAGCATGAGTTGAATTTATCACTGTGAACATCTCAGCACCATGCCCCTACCACAGACGCTTCCCAATCTACACAGCGCCAAAGGAACCGGCTGTTCGCCAAGAACTTCCTGACTTTCTCAGGCCAGCAGGAACTATCACATGACCAGATGGTGTCCAAGCAGGAACAATGCTCATAAGGTGATCTTTTATCTGAATATGAGTTTCTATGAGTTATTCTCAATTAAGAAACAGATTAAACACTTCTAAAAGATTCTTAACACTTAGGAAACAACTTCCTCCTTTATAATTCACCAGTGACTCTAGACAACAATGTAAACAACAACAAGGAAAACTTCAGCCAATTGGTCCACACTTTGTAGGCCCAGTGTATAAAAGTTCCAGGTTGGAAGGACTCATCAGATTCTGGGGAACTCACCTGTGAACAGGAGCCCACCCTCCACCCCAACACCATGACTGACTGCTGCTCCCCTTGCTGCCAGCCCACCTGCTGCCAGCCCACCTGCTGCAGGACCACCTGCTGTAGGACCACCTGCTGGCAACCCAGCTGTGAGACCACCTGCTGCAGCACACCCTGCTGCCAGCCCAGCTGCTGTGGGTCCAGCTGCTGCCAGCCCTGCTGCCAACCAACTTCTGTCCAACCACCACTGCTGCAGACCACCTGCTGGAAACCTCCTCTGGTGACACCTGCTGCACCACCTGCTTGCCAGCCCAGCTGCTGTGTGTCCAGCTGCTGCCAGCCTTGCTGCCAACCCACTTGCTGCAGCACACCTGCTGCCAGCCCAGCAGCTGTGCACCTGTCTACTGCACCAGGACCTGCTATCACCCACAGCGTCTGCCTGCCTGGTTGCCTAAACCAGAGCTGCGGATCCAGCTGCTGCCGCCTTCCTGCTGCTGATCCTCTCCTCCAAAGGACCATCATCATTACATGACACATTCTGTCAACTGACCTATCTTTTCAGGGATAAAGTCACTTCCAAACTTTGTTGAAGACCATCATGCTCTAACCAAAATGTGTTACTGTCTGCATGTTCGCAATCCTGTGAATCAGCTTGAGCAACTGCAGAGTACTCCACTTTGATGCTCTTCTCCCTTATGCCTTATGGATCATGTACAAGCTTCACGTACCCTTGTTTTGAGTTATGGTCTTGACTTTGACTCTAACATCAATATTTTCACTTCTCCCACTTGGGACATAGAAAAACAAATCCTTTCAGCTTTTCATAGTTTTCTGCATCTGATCAATAATTATCATTATCATCCTTTCCAATTTACTCATGTTTCTAGTATCCTGCTTTCCTCTGTCATAATCAGGGATTTTACCTAATTATTTCTTAATAAATTCTGAACCCTTATTCATTCAATGTTCTGTTTATTCTAATGCGCGAATTCCTGATACAGGGACTGTATTCTTGCATGAAACATAGTAATACAATTTTGCTCTTAAAACAGACACTGTGTGATATTACTGCAAACCATTATTCAAATGAGAAAACTTCATAGTAATCATGTACTAATTATGGACACACTGACACCCAGGACTGGTCTTTATGCCTGCCAAAGGGCACCTGCATGTACATCCAAGGCAGGTAGAAATGCTGCTAGAGACTGAGATTAGCAAGCTGTGCTGTTGGGGCAAAATAGAGAAAATAGACTAGCAGGACTCCATCGAACTGAAATGCTTCGTTCAGCAAAGGAATCCATGAATCAAATGAAAGTTAATCTACGGATTGGGAAAAATATTTGCAAACCATATACCCAATAAGGAGTTAATTCCAAATATATAAGAAGAGCTACAATTCAATACCCAAAAAATAAACCCAAATAAGGTGATTAAAAATAAAAAGAGGCCGGCGCGGTGGCTCACGCCTGTAATCCTAGCACTTTGGGGAGGCCGGAGGCGGGCGGATCACTCAAGGTCAGGAGTTCGAAACCAGCCTGGCGAGACGCCCGTCTCTACCAAAAATAGAAGAAATTAATTGACCAACTAAAAATTAATATACAAAAATTAGCCGGCATGGTGGCGCATGCCTGTATCCAGCTACTCGGGAGGCTGAGGCAGTAGGATCGCTGAGCCCAGGGAGATTGAGTGCTGTGAGCCAGGCTTGGATGCCTGGAGGGTTTACCAGTGAACAAAAAGAAGAAAATAATGCTAGATAAAAAGACTGTCCCATCTCTCTTCAGTAAAGTGCCTGGTATTTAATAAGCACTCCCTTAATGCTCATAATCTGAATTGTGCTACTGTTACTATTGTTGTTATTGCCCAGAGAATAAACAATGAACTATAAAAAAAGGACTGTTATCAAATTAATAAAACTGGTATTATTTTTATGTGGCATAACTGTACATCCAGAATCCCTTTCCCCACCCAGAGATATCATACACTATTAGAGTTAACAAGTAGTTAGATAAAGATCAATATACAAAAAGAATTTTTTTCTGTAGTTCAGAAACAGCAAAAATTTATTTTAATTTATAACATATAAAAGCGTAAAAAATAAAATATCTAAGAATAAATCTAACAAAAGATGAGCAAAACTTCAAAAGAGCATGGAATAAAATCTTTGCCAGGCAATTCTATGAACAAATCTACTCCAACTTGTACATCCAACAGAAATGTTTGTATACATTTCCCAAAGGTGCTGTCCCTAAATTTTCACAGCAGCATTGTTTTTATGAGTTTCAAACTGGAAGACAATCAACAAATAAATTGTGTCATATTCATTCAGCTGAAGATTATACAACAACAAGAATGAATAAACTACAAATGATGACTCAAAATTTGATGAGTCTCAAAATTGCAATGTAAAGATAGAGAAGACAATTATAAGTTTTTTAACTTCCGTAGATGTCAAAGACTCCAAAAAATATACCTATGGGGTTACAAAGCAATTGAGTGATTAGCTACCTATGGCAATGAGTGAGAGGATATATTTGGAAGGAAAGGAATTAACTTCTATATCTTAGCCTGGGTATAGTGACATGGATGAATACCACTTTGTGGTATTCTCTCAAGTTGGAAATTAACAATTTGCATTTCTTTTAAAAGGGTGGTATACCCACTCCCCTAAAAATGTTAACATGTTAGACCCCAAAGATAAATCAGGTATCACTGCAAATAATCTAATTCCATCATTGAAGAGGGTGGGGAGAGAGAGAAAGCAAGAAAGAAATGGAGATAGAGAAAAAGAAAGAAAAAGAGAAAAGGAGAAAATTTTTCAGTTGGTGACTAAAAACACTAATTCTGCGGGTCTCCAGGGTTAGGGCTAGAATCACCAGCTGATCCTGGTTTCCCTGGATCTATGGAAGTTATAACACAGATGGTCCCATATTCTCATCTTTCCAAGCCTCTCAGTCCAGGCAAATCAAGATGAATGTCCCCCATAAAATGGTATCTTCTTAGTCCTGGTGCACTGCTTCTCCTTCTGCCCACCCGCTTTGGCTTTGCTCTGCCACAGGAAACACATTATGCCAAATATCCTCTTCCCAGGTGTCTTTGATACAACTGGGAGACACAGGTGGAGTAGGTTGTCCAGAGAGATGCCTGTTCGTCTTGGGTCAGGCTTCTGTGGGTGAACAGACTTGGACCCAAGCATATATTCAGTTCACCACTGTGAACATATCAACACCAAGCCCCTCCCTACAGATGCTTCCCAGTCTACATACAGCCAAGGAACTGGCTGGGCAGGGAGAACTTCCTCACCTTCCCAGGCCAGCAGGAACTATTATATCACATGACCAAGATGGTGACCAGAGCAGGAACAATGCTGATGATGTGACCACCTTCCTTTTATCTTAAGAAAAGGCTTCCGTGAGTTATCTCAATTAAGAAACAGATTAAACACTTACTTTTAAAGGTTCTTAACACTTGGAAACATGTCCTCCTTTATAATTCACCCAGTGACTGTGGAAAACAATGTAAACAGCAACAAGGAAAACTTCAGCCAATTGGTCCAAACATTGGAGACCCAGTGTATAAAAGGTCCAGGTTGGAAGGACTCATCAGATTCTGGGAATTTCACCTCTGAACAGAAGCCCACCCTCTGCCCTGACACCATGGCCGACTGCTGCTCCCCTTGCTGCCAGCCCACCTGCTGCAGGACCACCTGCTGCCAGCCCAGCTGCTGTGAGCCCAGCTGCTGCCAGCCTTGCTGCCGCCCAACATGCTGTCCAACCCCCTGTTGCAGGACCACCTGCTGCAGGACCACCTGCTGGCAACCCAGCTGTGAGACCACCTGCTGCACCACACCCTGCTGCCAGCCCAGCTGCTGTGTGTCCAGCTGCTGCCAGCCTTGCTGCCAACCCACTTGCTGCAGCACACCCTGCTGCCAGCCCAGCAGCTGTGCACCCGTCTACTGCACCAGGACCTGCTACCACCCCACCAGCGTCTGCCTGCCTGGTTGCCTAAACCAGAGCTGCGGATCCAGCTGCTGCCAGCCTTCCTGCTGCTGATCCTCTCCCCAAAGGACCATCATCATTACATGACAACATTCTGTCAACTGACCTATCTTTTCAGGGATAAAGTCACTTCCAAACTTTGTTGAAGACCATCATGCTCTAACCAAAATGTGTTACTTGTCTGCATGTTCGCAATCCTGTGAATCAGCTTGAGCAACTGCAGAGTACTCCACTTTGATGCTCTTCTCCCTTATGCCTTATGGATCATGTACAAGCTTCACGTACCCTTGGTTTTGAGTTATGGTCTTGACTTTGACTCTAACATCAATATTTTCACTCTCTCCCACTTTGGGACATAGAAAAACAAATCCTTTCAGCTTTTCATAGGTTTCTGCATCTGATCAATAATTATCATTATCATCCTTTCCAATTTACTCATGTTTCTAGTATCCTGCTTTCCTCTGTCATAATCAGGGATTTTTACCTAATTATTTCTTAATAAATTCTGAACCCTTATTCATTCAATGTTCTGTTTTATTCTATTGCGCAGAATTTCTGATACAGGGACTTGTATATACATTGCATGACATACGTAATATCCAATTTTGCTCTTAAAACAGACACTTGTGTATTACTGCCTCCATTTTTCAAATGAGAAAACTTCATAGTATAATGTCATGTACCTAATTATGGACACACTGACACCCAGGACTGGGTCTTTAGTGCCTGCCAAAGGGCACCTGCATGTACATCCCAAGGCAGGTAGAAATGCTGCTAGAGACTGAGAATTAGCAAGCTGTGCTGTTGGGCAAAATATAGAAAATAGACTAGCAGGACTCCATCGAACTGAAATGCTTCTGTTCAGCAAAGGAATCCATGAATCAAATGAAAAGTTAATCTACGGAATGGGAGAAAATATTTGCAAACCATATACCCAATAAGAAGTTAATTCCCAAAATATATAAGGAAGAGCTACAATTCAATACCCAAAAAAATAAAACCCAAATAAGGTGATTAAAAAATAAGAAAAGACCTGCATACATATTTTTCAAAGAAAATGTAGGAATGGTCAAAGGTATAAAAAAAGATACTCAACATTATTAATCATCAGGGAGATACAAATTAAAACCACAATTGCTATCACCTCATACCTGCTGAATAGCTATGCATAGAAAGACAAAACAGGGATTAACAAGGATGTGGAGGAAAGGAAATTCTTGTACACTACTGATGGGAATGTAAAATGGTACAGCCATTACAGAAAACAATATGGAACTTCTTCAAAAATTTAAAAATGTAACTATCCCATAACCCAGCACTCCCTCCTGTAAGAATATATCCCAAGGAAAATGAAAGCAGAATACGAAAGAAATATCTGCATTCCTATGTTCATCCAAACTTTGCTGCTTCTGTTCAAAGTAGAATACAAATTCTGCAATTTGACTATATGTTTCTCCTTGGAATTCCCACCATGGTTTGTGTGTTAGAAAGGGACCCATGGAATGTTTTAGTGTAGTTATTGAAAAGAGAACAGTTGCTCCCCAAGCCCCACACCATGCAATAACTCTGCTAGTGTATTTTATGGGGCATGAAAAAGGATTCAGAAATACTAATATAGATAATAATATCAAGGCCCAATTGGGCACAGGAGGGTGGGAATCTTGGGGTATTCAGAACTTACTTATTTACAGAAGGTAGAGGACATAGAGCAAGGACAGGAGCATAAATCTGTGGAATGCAATGACAGCATCTATCCTGACCAAGGTATTAACACAAGAAATCAAATCCATTGCTCTATACATATGATCATAACCACATGAATTGTTTTCAGAAATGCAAAGTCATTTACCATTTGAACATGAATCAAATCTTTAAATCACATTTACTGACAATCATAACATTATCTCAATTCATAAAGAAAAAGCATCTTATAAATTTCAACACATTTTCAATTTTCTATTCCTAAGCTAATAAGGAATAGAAAAGGCTTCACTACTCTGATGAAAAGAATCTGCAAAGCAGACTGAATCATATTTAACCGAGAAATATTGAGAGTTCTCCCTCCTATATGTAGAATATGAAAAATTATGTACTATACCATTCTATTCCACATTGTACTGGAGGGTTTACCAGTGAACAAAAAGAAGAAAATAATGCTAGATAAAAAGACTGTCCCATCTCTCTTCAGTAAAGTGCCTGGTATTTAATAAGCACTCCCTTAATGCTCATAATCTGAATTGTGCTACTGTTACTATTGTTGTTATTGCCCAGAGAATAAACAATGAACTATAAAAAAAGGACTGTTATCAAATTAATAAAACTGGTATTATTTTTATGTGGCATAACTGTACATCCAGAATCCCTTTCCCCACCCAGAGATATCATACACTATTAGAGTTAACAAGTAGTTAGATAAAGATCAATATACAAAAAGAATTTTTTTCTGTAGTTCAGAAACAGCAAAAATTTGTTTTAATTTATAACATATAAAAGCGTAAAAAATAAAATATCTAAGAATAAATCTAACAAAAGATGAGCAAAACTTCAAAAGAGCATGGAATAAAATCTTTGCCAGGCAATTCTATGAACAAATCTACTCCAACTTGTACATCCAACAGAAATGTTTGTATACATTTCCCAAAGGTGCTGTCCCTAAATTTTCACAGCAGCATTGTTTTTATGAGTTTCAAACTGGAAGACAATCAACAAATAAATTGTGTCATATTCATTCAGCTGAAGATTATACAACAACAAGAATGAATAAACTACAAATGATGACTCAAAATTTGATGAGTCTCAAAATTGCAATGTAAAGATAGAGAAGACAATTATAAGTTTTTTAACTTCCGTAGATGTCAAAGACTCCAAAAAATATACCTATGGGGTTACAAAGCAATTGAGTGATTAGCTACCTATGGCAATGAGTGAGAGGATATATTTGGAAGGAAAGGAATTAACTTCTATATCTTAGCCTGGGTATAGTGACATGGATGAATACCACTTTGTGGTATTCTCTCAAGTTGGAAATTAACAATTTGCATTTCTTTTAAAAGGGTGGTATACCCACTCCCCTAAAAATGTTAACATGTTAGACCCCAAAGATAAATCAGGTATCACTGCAAATAATCTAATTCCATCATTGAAGAGGGTGGGGAGAGAGAGAAAGCAAGAAAGAAATGGAGATAGAGAAAAAGAAAGAAAAAGAGAAAAGGAGAAAATTTTTCAGTTGGTGACTAAAAACACTAATTCTGCCGGTCTCCAGGGTTAGGGCTAGAATCACCAGCTGATCCTGGTTTCCCTGGATCTATGGAAGTTATAACACAGATTGTCCCATATTCTCATCTTTCCAAGCCTCTCAGTCCAGGCAAATCAAGATGAATGTCCCCCATGAAATGGTATCTTCTTAGTCCTGGTGCACTGCTTCTCCTTCTGCCCACCCACTTTGGCTTTGCTCTGCCACAGGAAACACATTATGCCAAATATCCTCTTCCCAGGTGTCTTTGATACAACTGGGAGACACAGGTGGAGTAGGTTGTCCAGAGAGATGCCTGTTCGTCTTGGGTCAGGCTTCTGTGGGTGAACAGACTTGGACCCAAGCATATATTCAGTTCATCACTGTGAACATATCAACACCAAGCCCCTCCCTACAGATGCTTCCTAGTCTACATACAGCCAAGGAACAGGCTGGGCAGGGAGAACTTCCTCACCTTCCCAGGCCAGCAGGAACTATTATATCACATGACCAAGATGGTGACCAGAGCAGGAACAATGCTGATGATGTGACCACCTTCCTTTTATCTTAAGAAAAGGCTTCCGTGAGTTATCTCAATTAAGAAACAGATTAAACACTTACTTTTAAAGGTTCTTAACACTTGGAAACATGTCCTCCTTTATAATTCACCCAGTGACTGTGGAAAACAATGTAAACAGCAACAAGGAAAACTTCAGCCAATTGGTCCAAACATTGGAGACCCAGTGTATAAAAGGTCCAGGTTGGAAGGACTCATCAGATTCTGGGAATTTCACCTCTGAACAGAAGCCCACCCTCTGGCCTGACACCATGGCCGACTGCTGCTCCCCTTGCTGCCAGCCCACCTGCTGCAGGACCACCTGCTGCCAGCCCAGCTGCTGTGAGCCCAGCTGCTGCCAGCCTTGCTGCCGCCCAACATGCTGTCCAACCCCCTGTTGCAGGACCACCTGCTGCAGGACCACCTGCTGGCAACCTAGCTGTGAGACCACCTGCTGCACCACACCCTGCTGCCAGCCCAGCTGCTGTGTGTCCAGCTGCTGCCAGCCTTGCTGCCAACCCACTTGCTGCAGCACACCCTGCTGCCAGCCCAGCAGCTGTGCACCCGTCTACTGCACCAGGACCTGCTACCACCCCACCAGCGTCTGCCTGCCTGGTTGCCTAAACCAGAGCTGTGGATCCAGCTGCTGCCAGCCTTCGTGCTGTTGATCCACTCTCCAAAGAACCATCATCATCACACAATAGTTTTTCATCAACTGACTTATCTTCTCAGGGACAATGTCACTTCCAAACTTTGCTGAAGACCACCATGCTCTAACCAAAATTTGTTACTTGTCTGCATGTTTGCAACCCTGTGAATCAGCTTGAGCAAGTGCAGAGTACTTCATCCTGATTATCTTCATCCTTATGCCTTGTGGATTATGTGCCTGTTTCATGTATTCTTTATTTGGAATCATGGTCTTGGCCTTGACTCTAAACTCAAGTTCTTCACTTTCTTTCTCTAATGAACTTATGTGTCCTCAACTCATCAATAATCTTTAAAATCATGTTTCATTTTTCAGTGTACTCATGGTTCTTGTATCCTGCTTCCTTCTTTTTGTGATCACTTTGAGATGTCTCCCTAGGAGCAGGGATTCTTATCTATGTAGTTCTTAATAAATTCTGAACCATTGTTCATCCAATATTGTATTTTGTTTTATTTTACAGCATTCCTCATGTGGGATTTACATACATATTGCATACCATATGTATTACCTAATTTTTTCTCAAAATATACACTCATATATTATTACCTCTATTTTTCAGATGACAGAAATTTAAGGGGTGATATTACATAGCTAATAATAGACAGACTTGCATCCAGACTGAGGTCTTTCTGCTCGATGGCATGTATATTTACCTCTCCAGATGAGTAGAAATGACATTAGAACCCATCATCGGCAAGATACACATTTGAGTTTACTTGACAATGGAAAGAATCTTCTCTTGTATCTGCAGATAACATTTCTGTTTACAAAGTTCTTCCCAAATTAGTTTCCCACACCTCAGTGAGCAGCAGCTATATGGTATGGCAGTAGGGACTGCATTTAATCACTCTCCTAAATGCAGGAGATTCCTTTTTGTGACACCCTCTGACCAGCCATTCATTCAATTCATCTGCATCAAAAATTTTTGAGAATCAATGTATCCTCATGGGAGAGAGTCTCATCTAAAGGGATTTGTTCCTTGGTATCATTTAAATCAAATTCTTTTCTTCTCTTTTTTTTTAATTTTTTTGGACAAGTTCACATCTCCAGTTTTATTTTTGACAAGTTTACATATTCAATTTAAATTTTCATTTGTGTAAATTTATGGGGTACATGCATAATTATATTACCTGTATAGATTGGACAGTGGTGAGGTCAGGACTTTCAGGGTATCCATCACCAGAATAGCATACACTGTACTCATTAAGTAATTTCTCATTATCCACCACTGTTGCCTCTCTTTATCCTGCTGAGTCTCCATTTTCTACCATTCCACTCTCTACGTCCATGTGCGGCTCTCATTTATAACTTGTATTTCTGTATCTGACTTGTTTCCTTTAAGATCATGGTCTTCAGTTCCATCTGTGTTACTGCGAAAGACATGATTTCATTCTTTTTTTTATGGCTGAATGCTATTCTACTATGTGTGTGTGTGTGTGTGTGTGTGTGTGTGTGTCACATTTTCTTTATCCAGTCATCCATGGATGGACACTTGGGTTGATTCCATGTCTTTGGTATTGTGAATAGCACTGCAATAAATGCCCTACCTCTCCTGAACACCTATTAACAGAGCAAAAAGGAATTAAGTAATTCTTTATAAAATACAGACCATACATTGTGCCACATTAAGGCAATGTGTCCCCCTGATCAAAACATTATTAAGAAAATTAAGTAAGGACAAAATTAGGGAATGACAAAGTATGCAATAGTTATGTGTGACTTTGAACAATCCACAATGCCTGAGCCATCCAAGGGAATAAAACAACCTTCTGTGTTTTGTGCAGCAAATATGAAGAATTTGAAGGAAACAAAAACTTGTGTCTCCAGGGAAACCAGAAGAATGTAAAAAAGAAAAGTAGAAGAACTTGTGCATTCATAGGAGCCAGGATAGACAGAAGGCTGGTACTTTTGGTCCTGAGCTAATGATGCAACCTAAGCATTCATTGATGTAAAGGTTAACACCAGCTCTCAGAGGAATAGACAAGTTTATGACCTGGACTACCTTCTTGGGACCTTATACCAGCCTGGAAGTGATAGAAGTAGTTCTGAAGGCCTAACAACATAGATGTCCAGGACAGACGCCAACTTCTGAATGTAAGTATCTGGAATGTTCTGAAGAGACTGCTAAGAGATAAAACCTGCTGACTGTGGTTCTTGTTGAGTGGTGGGGTCAGTAAGATGAAGAACTAACATGTGGCTGGGCACGGTGGCTCATGCCTGTAATCCTAGCACTCTGGGAGGCCGAGACGGGCAGATAGCTCGAGGTTGGGAGTTCGAAACCAGCCTGAGCAAGAGCAAGACCCCATCTCTACTATAAATAGAAAGAAATTAATTGGCCAACTAATATATATAGAAAAAATTAGCTGGGCATGGTGGCACATGCCTGTAGTCCCAGCTACTCGGGAGGCTGAGGCAGAAGGCAACTCCTTGAGCCCAGGAGTTTGAGGTTGCTGTGAGCTAGGCTGACGCCACAGCACTCACTCTAGCCTGGGAAACAAAGAGAGATTCTGTCTCAAACAAACAAACAAACAAAAAAAAGAACTAACATGTTCTCTTTGACCAACATCAGTTACACAAGATGAGTAAGTTCTGCAGATCTAATGTACAGCAACATGACTATGTTAAAAATACTTTATTGTTTGCTAAGACAGTAGATCTTGTGTTCACACCACAAAAAAAAACAAAAGAAAATCGTAACTATGGGAGCTGTTGCATATCTTAATTAGCTCAATTGCAGTGATTATTTCACAATGAATATGTATATCAAAACATCGATTTATATATCTTAAATGCATATAATTTTTATTTGTCAATCATGCCTCAAGAAATCTAAGAAAGAATTTAGTAGATCTAGTTAATTATTATAAATACATTCTTATCTTCAACATTAAAATTAAAATTCTGAGAAAAACAGAACTAATATGTCCTGTGTTGCCTTCTATTTGATAGATACTGACTAAATGTTTCAATTTAATTCTTGAAGAAACTTACAAAGTAGGTATTGGTATTTTCATTTTAGGGATGAGGAAATTGAGGTTGAGAGAGGTATTATAACATTATAGTTTGCTTTCTACCAGAAGAGACACTGAGAAAAAGATTTAAGCGGAAGTAGTTTATCGGGCAGATCACACAGTAGGGAATTATGGAAGTGATGCAGGGATGGACATGCTATTAAACTGGTATCACAATCACCAAGTGAAGCTGAAAGCTCAGGGAAAGCTATCAGAAATAATGAAAAGCACACATTTTAGAATTATTCAACTTCAGGAATGAGGAACTTAGAAATCAACTCTCAAGACAGTATATTTAACTTAAACATCTGTACTCCCATAATATGCTGAAATTAAAAAAAAATTTCAAATCAACTCTCAATATGGCATACACAGGCAACATGACTTTCTGCAGTTGCAATAAAAGAGCCCCTGGGCTCAGAGATGCAGACTGTGGCAGATGAAAATTGGTCTGAGCACACGAAGATACAAGGTATGTGGATGAGATAATGAAAACCGAATCTACAATCCACCATCTGCTTCACTAAGATCTGATAGTTGCTTCTTAAATATGGGGCACAGGCACAAATTCTAGGAGGAGGAAGAAGATGAGGAGGAGAAGGAAGATGATGAGAAGGAGGAAGAAGAAGGACAAAAGAGAGGGAAGGAAGGAAGGAAAGAAGGGAGGGAAGGAGGGAGGAAGGGAAGAGAAGGAGAAAGAAAGAAAAAAGAAACGAGGGAGGGAGGAGGGTCTGGTCTGCTAACATAAAGAATACAAAATAACCTGGTGGTAATTGTTACTTTCGATTATGCCTAAAAGAGAATCCAATATTATAATTTTTAATGTACAGAAAATTTTTTAAAAAGCCAAAACCGACCTACAGGGTTGCAAAGCCAATAGCCAATAGTGGTTAGCTACCTATGGGGATGAGTAAGAGGATATAATTTGAAAGGAGCTGGATTAATTTCTATTTCCTAATCTGTTAATAAGGGCATCGATGTATTTACGTTGTGATATTATATTAAGTTGAAAATAAACAATTTTCGTTTTAAATGAATGATATACCTTTAAAAAGTTATAAGCATATTAGACCTCAAAGAGGAAACAGGTATCATCTCAACTAATGCAATACTTTATTGAAAAGACAGAAAGAGAAAAAATGGGCTATTCTGGAATCCAGGGTTAGGGCTAGAGTGACCACCTCAAACTGGTTTGCCTGGATCTATCTCAATGTTATTACAGAAAGTTCCACGTGCTCATCTTGGTAAGCATCTCAGTCCAGGAAAATCAGGATGAATGGTCACAATAAACTGATTGATACCTTCTTACTCCTGGTGTACACTTCTCCTTCTACCCACTTGCTTTGGTTCTGCTTTGTCATATGGAATTTATTATACCAAACATCCTTTTCCCAGCTGTCTTTGATAGAACTGAGAGACACAGGTGGAGTAGGTTGTACAAAGAAAGAGATGACTTTTAGTATTGAGTCACTCTTTTATGGGTAAAGAGCTTTAGATCTAGGCATAGATTCAGTTCATCACTGTGAACATATCAGCACCACGCCCTTCCACAGACACTTCCAAATCTACATACAACCAAAAAAAAAAGGCTGGGAAGGGAGAACTTCCTCACCTTCCCAGGCCAGCAGCAACTATTATATCACATGACCAAGATGGTGACTAGAGCAGGAACGATGCTGATGATGTGACCACCTTCCTTTTATCTGAAAAAAGGTTTCCGTGAGTTATCTCAATTAAGGAACAGATTAAACACTTACTTTTAAAGGTTCTTAACACGCAGGAAACACGTCTTCCTTTATAATTCAGCAGTGACTATGGAAAACAATGTAAACAACAACAAGGAAAACTTCAGCCAATTGGTCCAAACATTGGAGACCCAGTGTATAAAAGGTCCAGGTTGGAAGGACTCATAAGACTCCAGGAAATTCACCTCTGAACAAGAGCCCACTCTCTGCCCTGACACCATGGCCGACTGCTGCTCCCCTTGCTGCCAGCCCACCTGCTGCAGGACCACCTGCTGCCAGCCCAGCTGCTGTGAGCCCAGCTGCTGCCAGCCTTGCTGCCGCCCAACATGCTGTCCAACCCCCTGTTGCAGGACCACCTGCTGCAGGACCACCTGCTGGCAACCTAGCTGTGAGACCACCTGCTGCAGCACACCCTGCTGCCAGCCCAGCTGCTGCCAGCCCTGCTGCCAGCCAGCTTGCTGTCCAACCACCTGCTGCAGGACCACCTGCTGGAAACCCACCTCTGTGACCACCTGCTGCACCACACCCTGCTGCCAGCCCAGCTGCTGTGTGTCCAGCTGCTGCCAGCCTTGCTGCCAACCCACTTGCTGCAGCACACCCTGCTGCCAGCCCAGCAGCTGTGCACCCGTCTACTGCACCAGGACCTGCTACCACCCCACCAGCGTCTGCCTGCCTGGTTGCCTAAACCAGAGCTGCGGATCCAGCTGCTGCCAGCCTTCCTGCTGCTGATGAACTCCCCAAAGAACCATCATCATCACACGACTACCTTTTTTCAATTGACTTGCCATGCCAGAACAAATTTACTTCCTAGCTTTCCTGGAAAACATCATGCTATCACTGAAAAATCTGTTACTCATCTAGTTTTTTTAAACTTGTGAATCAGCTTGTGGGGGTGCAGAGAACTCCAATCTCATTCTTTCCATCCTATGCCTTGTGTATCCTGTCCCAGCTCCACATGATCTTGACATGGGGTTAAGGTCGCAGTTTTCATTCTGAAGCCAAAATCTTCACCTCTAAATACCTGAAGACAACACATCTTCATAAAAATTTCCATTTGTAAACCAATTTCCTAAAAATCATATTCTTCAACTGATCAATAATCTTTATAATCATGTTTTCTTTTATGGTGTATTCGGAATTCTTGTACTTTTTCTTTCATGATCGCTTTCAGTTGTCTGACTGACATAGGTAGCCTTAATAAATTCTGTGCCATTATTCATCTCAGATTGCCTTTATTTTATTACGGACAAAAACTTGACATGAGATCTATCTGCTCAAGAGATTTTTAAGTGCGCCACACGTTATCTTTGTATCACATACAGTAGGCACAATGTCATACAGCAGATTCCTGGAACTTATTCATTTTGCATGACTGAAATTTTGTACCCATTGATTAGCAACTCCCTATTGCCTCCTCTGCCCACGCTCTGGAAATCACCATCCCATTCTTTGCCTATATGAGTTTCACTGTTGTAGAGACTTCGTATTCATGAAATCACATAGTATGTGTCCTTTTGTGGCTGGATTACTTCACTTAGCATAATGTCCTTAAGGTTCATCCATCTTATTGCAGATGACAGGATTTCCTTCTTTTTCAAGGCTGAATAAAATTTCATTGCATGTTTGTGCCACTATTGTTTATCCATTCATTCATTCATGGACATTTGGGCTGCTTCCACATCTCAGCTACTATGAATAGTGCTGCCATGAACATAGGAGTGCTAGTATCTCTTCAAGATCCTGTTTCTAATTTTTTTGGATAAATACCCCAAAGAGGGATTGCTGGATCATTGGTAGTACTATTTTTAATTCTTTGAGGAACCTCCATACTGTTTCCCATAGTGCTACACAATTTTACATTCCCACCAGTGCACAAGGGTTCCAATTTCTCCACTTTTCTCAACGCCTTTTCTCTGTTGGTTTTTTAAAAATAATAACCAGACTCAATATTCCAATATTTCAATACTCCACCATTGGAGTACTACTCCAATATTTAGTGACATCTGATGCATTCAGGAAAACAATAAATGGTCTTGCCGAAGGAACCGGAAGACTCAAGAACAACGTCCCTCTCCCCTGTGCTATGCTTGGTTGGGCACTGCCAGCGATTACATGCCTGCCTCCCCTAAGTCCAAACATCCAAGGCTGACCACCCCACTCCCTTTTAGGAAATACACGTTCATTTTCACAAAACCATCAGCCAGATGTAAATTCTGCTCATCTTGAAGCCATTCTTCTCTTTAAGTTGCCTTTGCATAAATGGGCTCTGCCCCTAATTATGTCACTTTTAAGTTCCACTTTTCAAGGGCACCTTTCTCTCTGGTTTTGCTGATTTACAGCACTTGCATTATAGCACCCAAATTGTGATAGTTCCCATATGTTAATGTTAACTTTCATCTGGTTTTTTTCTGCCTTAAAATTTAGGAGCCAATTATGAAATTATATGTAATAGAATCTAATTACATTTCTAGGTAACTCAGAGTTTCTTCTCCAACGCCTTTCAATGGCTAAATGGAGAACTTAGTAGAGCAGGTCTGTCTTTAGAAAGTTACCAGAGCTCTCATGTTTCACGTGTTTGCTGATCAGGTGATGATCAGTTATTACCAGCTTGTTATTAGTGATTCACCCACCATACTTTCCCCCAGTTCTCTTCAATGAGTTTAGTAGGTACTTATCTATCCTGGAGCAATTTGCTTTTTGTATAATTTGAGCTGAAGGTTAAAGACAGTGACTCAGTTATGTTCTCTGGGTTAATACAATGCTGTTGTAGAAATGGCCCAGCATGACTTTCAGAAAATTGGTCTAGACTTTGTTGTCTTTGTTCGAAGTAGATAAAAAATATATATACGCAATTTGGCTACAGGTTTCTCTTTCAGATTCCCACCATGGTGTGTGTTAGAATGGGAACTGTGGGACATTTTAGTACCTATTGAAAAGAGAACTGTTGCTCCCAAGCCCACAATCTGCAATAGCTCTGCTAGTGTATTTGACGGGACATAAAGATATCTTTACAAACACCAATACAAGCAGCCACATCAACGTCAAACTGGGTACAGGAAGGTAGAAATGCTGCCACAGTCAAAACTTGCTTATTTAGCGGAGAATATAGAGAAAGAATGGGAAGATACATTTGTGGAATGCAATGACAGCATCTATTCTAATCAAGATATGAGCAAATGAGATGCACTGGCACTGGATATCATAACCACAGTGAATGGAGAGGAGAGCAGAGGAGAGGAGAAGAAAGGAGAGGAAAGAAAGGAAGGAAGAAACAAAGGAAGGGAGAGTGAGAACATACCTGAAAGCTCTGATTCTGATGGTAAACAGGTTAGGATTAGAGTCATCAGCTCATCTCATTTCACCCATGCTGCCCTAATAAATCACTGAATTTCCCACATGCTGGGAAATCCCTCAGTCCTGGACAAACCAGAATTAATGTTCACCCCAAGAAAAATATTGTTTGATGCTTTCTAAGTCCCAATGTACTCCTCTTTCTACTCACTTGCTTTGGTTCTGTTCTGCCATGTGGAACACATTATGCCAAACATCCTCTTCCCAGGTGTCTTTGATACAACTGGGAGACGCAGGTGGAGTAGGTTGTACAGAGAGAGATGCCTGTTAGTCTAGAGTCAGGATTTTGTGGGAAAACAGACTTGGACCCAGGCATGGATTCAGTACATCACTGTGAACATATCAACACCAAGCCCCACCCACAGACGCTTCCCTACCTACATACAGCCAAAGGAACAGGCTGGGCAGGGAGAACTTCCTCACCTTCCCAGGCCAGCAGGAACTATTATATCACATGACCAAGATGGTGACCAGAGCAGGAACGATGCTGATGATGTGACCACCTTCCTTTTATCTGAAAAAAGGTTTCCATGAGTTATCTCAATTAAGAAAAAGATTAAACACTTACTTTTAAAGGTTCTTAACATGCAGGAAACACGTCCTCCTTTATAATTCAGCAGTGACTATGGAAAACAATGTAAACAACAACAAGGAAAACTTCAGCCAATTGGTCCAAACATTGGAGACCCAGTGTATAAAAGGTCCAGGTTGGAAGGACTCATAAGACTCTAGGAAATTCACCTCTGAACAAGAGCCCACTCTCTGCCCTGACACCATGGCCGACTGCTGCTCCCCTTGCTGCCAGCCCACCTGCTGCAGGACCACCTGCTGCCAGCCCAGCTGCTGTGAGCCCAGCTGCTGCCAGCCTTGCTGCCGCCCAACATGCTGTCCAACCCCCTGTTGCAGGACCACCTGCTGCAGGACCACCTGCTGGCAACCTAGCTGTGAGACCACCTGCTGCAGCACACCCTGCTGCCAGCCCAGCTGCTGTGGGTCCAGCTGCTGCCAGCCCTGCTGCCAACCAGCTTGCTGTCCAACCACCTGCTGCAGGACCACCTGCTGCAGGACCACCTGCTGGAAACCTACCTCTGTGACCACCTGTTGCACCACACCCTGCTGCCAGCCCAGCTGCTGTGTGTCCAGCTGCTGCCAGCCTTGCTGCCAACCCACTTGCTGCACCACACCCTGCTGCCAGCCCAGCTGCTGTGTGTCCAGCTGCTGCCAGCCTTGCTGCCAACCCACTTGCTGCAGCACACCCTGCTGCCAGCCCAGCAGCTGTGCACCCGTCTACTGCACCAGGACCTGCTACCACCCCACCAGCGTCTGCCTGCCTGGTTGCCTAAACCAGAGCTGCGGATCCAGCTGCTGCCAGCCTTCCTGCTGCTGATCTTCTCACCATAGAATCATTTGGCACGGCCAACCTCCTAACAACCGAACCGCCAGTTCCGCAGTTCCTGCCACAAGCCTCATCACCAGACTTTGCTGACATCCAGGGTGACATCCAGCTGACAGCTGACATCCAGCTCCGATCTTTCTATCAGTTTCTTGATTAACAGGGTTCGTGACCTGGCTTGGTAAGATGCAGTCAACTTCACCCGGATCTTCTGTGTCTTTATTTGCTGTTGATCTCTGTGATAGGCACAGCCCTTCGTCAGGTCTCCTTGTCCTATCGCCATTGTCCCAGCCTTGGATAACTGATTATCACATTCCCTCTAAGTAACCTAAAACAGAAATCCTTATGGTAGTTTTCTTACATTTATTCCATGTTTATTATTTCATTCTAATCATGTTTCCCCTAATGGACTCCTTATCTCTGTCTTACTTTTCTCTTTTCATGATCACTTTGCAATTGTCCTCCCAGGAAAGCTTCCCTTATTCCTTGCCAATAAAGTCTTTGCTGATTTCTGGCCTTTATTGTGATTTTATTTTTTTGTATGGGAATTACTTTTAAGGCCTTACCTTCATATTTTATTTCACAATTATTATCTATGTTATACCTGACAATGATCCCTAAGCTCATAGAGCCGAGATGATTATCTATCTCCCTCTTTCCCCATGAATAAAGTGCTTCCATAATAAGGTTTTGTGCCTTATTATGGACAGAATTTGGTCAAGCAAATGGAGCCTCTGATTCTAGCTCCAGGGCACTTACATTTACATCTTCCTACAAGTACACACCAATACAACAGTGATCTGCGCACTGAGCACTGGACTGGAGCGATGTCTACTTTGGGTTGCCTGTGTGAAAATGAACATTTCCATATGCAGATAATCTGTCTGTTTACAAATGTATTCTCTCATCTGTTTCCAAAACCTCGGTGGCCAGCAGGCTGGTTTTAATAGCCACCCAGTAGGTTTGAGCATCTATTCCTGGCTCTGTGCCGGCACATTTAAGCCAGTGGCTCACTGAAAGACCCTTGTACTTTGCTGTCAGGGGTTGACATTCTCCAGTAGTCTCTTTCCTCTGACCATGTACAGCGTGGAATATAAAAATGGAATCAAGCGAAACACGTAGCTTTAGGCCATATTTCATGTGCCCGCATGCTTTGAGTCAATTTTTTGTCTTGACCAGACATTATTAAGGAAATTAAGTATGGACAAAGTCCTGGGCATTGGGTAACCACATCAAGGAAATTTACCTTGGAGCCATCCACAATCCCTACAAAGCTTCATCCTGCATTTTACAAGACGAAGCTAAAGCACAAGTCCAACCCAGATGTATCTGGGGTTCTATGAAGAGACCCCTTAGTTTATAACAGGGAAAGGAGGTAAGTCGAAGTAACAATACTTGTTACTTATATTTGGATATAGATCTAAATCAGTGTCCCCCATCCTGGGCACTGTTGACGTTGGGCAATATAATTCTTTGTTGGGGGTGGAGGGGTGCGGCTCTGTGAGCTGAAGCCTGCTGAGCAGCACCCCTGGCCTCTTCCTGCTAGATGCTGGTTGCCCCTCCCAGTTGCACCATATAGAGCCACGATGGTGGGGAAAGTTGATAAATGGTAAAACCATAAATGAGGAATCTACAGAGGAATTGTCTAAATGCATAGAATTAAATGATAAAACATTTATAGCAGCATAATTCAAGATCACAAAAAAGTGGAAACAACCCAAGTGCCCATCAATAACATGAGTGGATTAATAAAATGTGGTATATGTATACCGTGGAGTATTACTCAACCATAGAAAAACAAACGGTGAACTGATACCTTTTGTAACAACCTGGATGGAACTGGAGACCCTCCTCTTAAGTGAAGTATCGCAAGGATGGAAAAACAAACACCACATGTACTCACTATTAAATTGGAACTAAATGATCAACACCGATGTGCACATATGGTGGTAAAACTCAATGGAAATCAAGCAGGTGGAAGGTGGGAGGAGGGAATGGGTAAATTCACACCTAATGGGTACAGTGCACACTATCTGGGCGATGGACACACTTATAACTTTGACTCAAACTGTACAAAAGTAATTTATGTAACCAAAACATTTGTAATTTGTAACTGTACAAAAGTAATTTATGTAACCAAAACATTTGCCCCCATAATGTTCTGAAATAAAAATATTTAAAAATAAAATAAAATAAGATAAAGAAATGATGAAACATGGCATATCATTAACTCATGGCATACAACAATAGTAGTGTTCTGACTATAATTTATAACTTTAAATCTTTATATTAAAAGAAAGGAAAAACCTTGAAATTAACTAAGTGTCCCATCTTAAGAAACTAGGATAAAAGCAATGGCATTGCCCGCAGACTACATAGAAGACAAATACTAAAGATAAGAGTGGGAAATGAATAAAACGGAAAATGTAAGACAGAAATAAATAATATTACTTAAAAGGGTGGACATAAAATATGGTTAAAACAGATTTTCAAGATAAGAAAAAAGATTATTTCAATTATCTGTTACTGTGTTACAAACAACTAATAATAATTTACTACCTTTTGTGCTTGTATGGGCTCACAGCATGTGGGGCGAAAGAATTGGGCATGACACTAGCCACCTTTGCTCTGCTCTGCGTGGTAAATCGAGACTGTGATGACGGGCTTTGCAAAAGAGAAAAGATTCCTTCACAAGACAGCCCAGTTAAGGAGGTGAGAGCTCTCAAATCCGCCTCCCGGGAGGTAAAGCTTAGGATATTCACGGGCGAGGGAAGCGGGGTCTACAGATGGGGGGAGCGGTGACAGGCAGTGGGGAACACGGAAGCAAAGGGTCCGCTCTGCCAAGCGTAGTCGGGGCTCACGGCATTTCACAGGACACCCGCTCAGTTATCGGCAGCCTTAGCGTGACCTGAGGGTGGAATTTGGGACCCTATGATGTCAAAAAGGCACCTCTCAGGCATTCGCACAGTCTCAGTTCAAGGGTCAACTGGTTTGAACTGGACAGGAGCTGCCCCAAGTTCCTGAAAACAACTTAGACGACCTGTTACCATGATGACATATAAATGCTGTCTATAAGGAAGCCAGTGAAGGTCAAGTTACGGTGTTCAGCAGCACGTTTTTCAGCTTCATGGGGAAGAAAAATAACAAAGAGCAAGCAGGGCAGGCTAAGTTTGGTTGACCTAATTAGATTAACCTCTCGATTTCGGGTAAAAAAAAAAATGTGGACAGGAATTTCACATCAGAGGAAACACATATAGCCAATAAACATGTGAACAGCTACTCAGCACCTTAAGTAATGAGGTAAAATAAAACCTCAGCAAGATTCCAATTCCCACCATTGTATCGGGAAATAATTTAAAGGTCTGCCAATGCCAAGAATCAGGGAGGATGAGGATGCCCAGATTCTCTTGTACATTGGAGGAGGGAGGAGTGAGGTATACATTTGTACAGCCACTTTGGGAAACAAATTAGCGTTTTCTCCTAAACGACTGATTAAGCTTCTGTCAATCAAACTTGACAATAAACTCACTCCCCTGGCTTTGTTGACAACCCACCCGATGTCGCCAGATGTTCTGTTGAACTGTAAGGCTGCTCGGTGAAGGGGAGCCCGCTTCTCTTTGAGTTTTCTCTTCCTTATGTGCTGCGGGTGAGTTTTCCAGCTGCTGGTCAGCTTCATCTGTCCTTGACATGAAGCCAAGATCTCAGCCTTAGAAAAGTGATCATCCTTTTTTTCCTCTAAGAACTCTGAAAAAAAAAAAAAATCCTTAGGACTGTTCTCTTAAGTCTCTGCAACTGATCAACATCACTGCAAGTGATCAATATGACCATCTTATCTCAATGTACTCCTGATTCCTGTGTCCTGCTTCTCACTTTCATGATCACTTAGAATTATCTTCCTGAAGTCTTTCCTAGCATGGACCATATAGTGGGGGTTTGTTTTGCACACCTATTCCGGTAAAAGGTCTTGCACGTGTATTGCATTTCATAGTATCTCTTCTAACCTCAGAGTAAGCTCTCAAGGTGGGCAGAGCCAAGATGATCATTTCCGTATTACAGATGGGAAGAGTTGCTTGTTTTATGTCATACAGCTAGTCATTTATAGAATTGGGTTCAGTCTCCAGATGGGCTGACTTCTGCTCCAGGGCATTATTACTTAGATTTTAATGCAAGTAGAAATAACTCTGGTAACTGAGTTTTTGGAAGGTGAACAATTTAAGTTGCTTATCTACCAATGAAAATAATAATGCCTTGCACACGTAGGCCACTTTTCTACCTAAAAAATGCAGAATAATTGGACAAAAAGACTAAGAAACACCCTTCAGTGCACACAAGATACATTTTCTTTGCCTCCAAACTCTGGATCAACTTAACTTCCCTATCAGAGCACTATAAGGGTAGTACATACTTAGCAGAATCCTAGGAATTGAAGTAGCTGAGCAATGAGTGTAGAACTCTTTGATCCAACCATTCTCTGGATGTTGAAAAGCAAAGTTGAAAGCTGAGGAGATTCAACACCAAAGTGTTAGCATAAAACAGAAAGATTTCAGAAAGAAAAAAAATATATCATCGATGCATGAGTGGATTAATAAAATGTGGGATATATATATACCATGGAGTACTATTCAGCAAAAAAAGAAAAGAAATTGGGCACTCTTAGAAGCCATGGTGGATATAATAGATATGAATTTAGTTCCCCAAAGTGGGAGCTGGAGTTTCTGAAGACCTGAACAGTACAGAAGATACCAAGAGTTTTGCTAGGAAAAGACCTGATATCGACTGTAGGAGGAAAAGAATATTTTGTAGTCAGAATCATCTCCTTGTGGTTAGATCTTAGAAAACTTAACAGGGCAGAGGGATCCTCTGAAGAGGGTTGCATATTGTCTGACTTGCTAAGTGCTTGCTCTCCCGATTGAGGATGGGGAGAGGTATGAGCTGAGGGACTATAATTTACTGAGTATCTACAGATATTAGCCTATATTTTCTCATCATTTCTA